ACACCTGTTTCCCAAGCTGTGGGGCAGAAGGTGGTGTCTAAGGAGCTGGGGACAGGTGACCTGCCCTCTCCTCATGCTGCAAAGCTGCTCAGGCTGTGCTCAGCCATGCTCTGAGGATTTTGTTCAAAGCTGCAGGAGCCACACTGATCACAGTCTGCACAAGTTAGTCCCTTCTGGGATTTGACACCCAACTCCATCACAACCACTGAATGTGGGGATGGTCGTGCCCATTTAGGGACAAGAAAATGGAGACATAAGAAAGTTAATCCTGTACAAAAGATGGTACAGGGCTACAGGATAAATCCTGAGAGTACTTGGCTGAACTTATCAGATACAAAAGTTACATTTCTTGTTATATAGGTCTTGCTGTATCTTGGTCTTAACTATCCAGCAGAAAAGTATAAAAATGAGGTATATAAAGTAAATCCATATTCATACGATGAGCTGTAAAAGGCTCAAGTCAATAACTTCTGAGGATAACCCACTAATATTAGACTGATAGACAGTGTTAGATTGTTTAGTTGAATTCAAACACCTCTAGTATTTAGATGCCAATAGAATATTCACCTCTGATGGAACAAAAAAAAAAGGATACAAAGGAAAGATCATTTTATATTTATATATATAAAATAGTTAGGATAAATTTACAGCTTTCAGTTAATTCAATGAGAAGAAAGAGGTGTACTAACAGTGTTTGGACAGAATATCCTGTCTGCTTCTTGTACTATGGATAACCACTAAGAAAATAACAATGTACAGTGTATTGACTATCAAAACTGTCCTATTCACAGAGAGCACATTGGCCAAGCAATGGCCGTGACTCATCCACATGGCTGACACTGACAAAGGTTCTACAATCTGAGGTACAGGATCTCAGGATAAATCCTGAGGGGATTTCACTGACCTTACCAGACCCTAAAGCTACAACTCTTGTTGCATAGGTCTTGCTTTACCTTGGTCTTAACCATTCAGTAGAAAAGTATGAATTCGAAATATAAGAAATAAAGCCATGCTGTTATGTTGAGCTGTAGGGGACTCAGGTCAACAATTTCTGACATTGCCAGTCAAGTGGAAGACCCAATACTATTATGGGCTACTGGACTCTTTTAGAATATTTTGCTGAGTTAACACACCTATAATATTCAAATAATGGAACTTAACAAAAAAAGGGTATACAGATGAATGTCCATTTTGTATCTGTGTTTTCAAAGTGGTTAGGATAGATATATAGTTACATTCTCTTAATGAATAGAGTGATTTGTTCTAATGGTGTTTGTAAATAAGATATCATGTCCGCATCTTGTACAGCAATTAACCACTAGGAAAAAAACATGCAATGGGATAAATATTGAAACTATCATACTAATTTGATTTGAAAAAAAAACTGTCCTATTAATCAGCTGTGAAACTGTCTCATTCATATTTATTTCTCAATAAAAAAATAAATATAAAAAAGCCTCAAATTTATCCTTTTTATAGCTGAATAATACTCCATTTTGATAGCTTAGTAGAATAAGTGCTTCCCTGGCAAGCACAAGGGCCTAAGTTCAATCCCCGGTTCCAAAAAAAAAAAAGAAAGAAAGAAAGAAAGAAAGAAAGAAAGAAAGAAAGAAAGAAAGAAAGAAAGTCAATCCTTTGTCTCATGTCACTAGCCAGAGAGTGAGGACTGGGGCTGTGCTTGCAGCCTGTCAAGGATGCACTCCCCCCCATGTCCTTAGCCTGCACTGTTCCTGGGTCCCCAGCACTGGACTCCTGAGCCAGGTACTGGCTGCCTGGTGCCACTAAACAGGCCCAGCATGGTCATGCCAGGGCCTAGGCTCAACTGCACATTGCGTCTTGGTCCTGCTCTTGCCCTGCTCTGCCGAAGCCCCAGGACGTCTCTAACCCTGGACAGCTTAGCATCCTTTGGACCTGGGGCTCAGGCCACCTTTCTGCCCTAATTAGAGCCTCAGGCTCTTGCTCCCTTCTCCCACACTAGAACCTCCTGCCTCTGCAGATCCAGGGCCCTCCTCAACCAGCCCCCAGCTCCCAGTTGACCCCAGTGGCCCTGTCACAGCCTGCCGTGAAGAGGGGAACTGGCCAGGGAGGAGAGCATGGCCCTGGTGTGTAGAGTCTTGAGCCCAAGGCAGGGGGCTGCCATCTAGGATTAGAATCAGACACTAAAAGTAAGGCTGGGGTCCTACAGCCAGCCTGGTACCCACAGAGGTTTAACCACTACCCAGGTTCCCCTGCTCCAGGAGAAGCCCACTCCCCACAGGGAAGGCCTGCAAAGCAGAGCAGAGGCTCATTTTCAGACTCACTTGCCCTTTTAGGTTAGCATCCTTGTTCAGTGAAGCACATGAGCAACTGTACATGACAGTCCTACATGCCTGACACCCCTCGGTTAAGGGTCTGCTGCTCCCACTAGATTTAGGAATCCCAGAGTGTGAGAGTCCTGTCTCATTAATCTTTGAATACCTCTCTGGCCCAGTACAGAGGTGGTCCCTAAAACCCATTGGATAAGTGCATGCATGGATGCATCTCTCAGCAACTCTGTGGCTTCCCTGTCTAGTGCATGCCAACAATACCAGCTCTGTCCTATTTGATTTCCCTCAGGCTCACCCTTCCCCATGCCCTGGCAGACTCTTCTGCAGCACGAGAGCACAAACCCCGCCACCTCCTTCCAGGAGGGTGACAAGCAGCAGAGCTGACACTCATCTTCTCACCCCGTGGAGGAGGGGTGTGCCCTCCCTGGAGTCTCACAAACAAGCTCCCCACCACTCCCCTCGGGATGTGCGTCTGCACTTTCCCCAGCTGGCTGAGCTATTCTGGGCATTCCTTCAAGTGTCACTGGCGACTTAGAACTCACCTGTGACGAGCTGCCAGATTCGCTTACAGAATGCAGTTCTAAAAGCAGCTAACAATGCCACAAGATGACGGGAGAGGAGAAGCAGCGGGATCTGGTCTTCAGTTTAAGACATAAATATCTGAAAATGAGAAATTCTTCAGAGCTAGGCTCCCTGCTGGAATATTTAGTGCCTGGTTACATAAAAAGCCACAGAAGCCAGGCAGATGGGGGCTGGGCCCTGACTAGGGTGCTCGAGTGGGTGCCGGGGTATCTGACGCGCCTCTACCCCACTGCCCATCACCATTGGACAGGAGCCACAGGCAAAGGCAAACATGCAGGGTGGCACACAGGGCCTGTGCTGTGCCACAGGACCAGAAGAGGTATACAGCAAGATGCAAAGGGCCTTGCCTTCCTTCTCTGGAGAGAACTGAGGTCACACCCTGACATCCATCCTAGGGATGGAGATGCAAGCTATGTCCTGGTGTTCAGAGCTGGCCTCAGTTGGGCGGGCAGAGACAGAGAAGAGAGGTTCCCAGGCAAAGGAGGCTGAGGGAAGAGGAAACAGGAAGCTGGCTCTCAAGCTCCAGAGGACTTAGGAGGGCACACACACTGAGGGCCTTAGAGGTACAGTGCTCTAGAAACCCCACAGGGCACCACATCTGAGGACAGCCATGCCTGCGGCTCATGTGCTGCAGCATGTCCTGCATGACTGGAAGTAACCTCTGGTGGGATCTGATCCAATTTACATGGGGTCCATGCAGGGACAGAAACCCCTCCAATAGACAAAGGGGGCTTGGAGTGAATCACCATTCTGGAAGTCACACAGAGGCTCTGACTGGTGGCTTCCAGGGGCCGGGAGCTCTTTTTGTTGCCTGGCTCCCTGCCGAAGAGTGTGTCCTTGCTAATAAATCTGTTTTTGCTCCTGTCTCTATGTATCCTGATCAATTATTTGTTGGGGACACCAAGAACATAGGACACCATTCACAATCCAAACAGCACCCACCAGCTCACAGGGACTCCAGCTTTGGCTCAGGGGCACCTGGGCCTTAGCAGGCTCAGCGCAGAGCTCTTGGGCTTCAAGAGCCCAGCCTGCATGGAGGAGCTGTGCTTGCTCAGGAAAGGCCATGTGGATGAGAGCAGGAGCCTCTGTCTGCAGCCACGTGGGGCCAGAGGGCACAGCGCGTCCTGGCCCCCCTCGGGCAAGAAGCTCCAGCAGGGCCTCAGCCAGGGTGCCCAGAATCTCAGAACCAGATCTGATCCAATTTATAAAAGTAAAACTGTGGGAGTTTCTTACACAAGACTGTGAGGAGGCAGAGCTGTAGCCAGGCCTTGCCAACCTCCAAGGCACCAACCTCAGGCATCTCTGGCTCAGAGCAAAAGGAAACAACGTTTTAGGGATCATCTTGCCTAGCAGAATGTGGTGCAGATCAGACCACAAGAGGAAGACAAACATGGTGAAAAAAGCTGCCTCGCATTTGGAGGCTGCCATGTTTGCAAGAAACATTCATGAACAAGACTCCTGTCACCCCGCTGGCAACCTGTCAAGCTGATATGGACCCAGTCCACAGAGCAAACCCTGAGGCTCAGACAGGCTGGGACTGCAGGGTCCTGGGAGGCTTCCATCTCCATGGGCTCCCCCAGGGTCATGATCCCTCCTGGTTACCCAGAGCTTTCCCACTTTAGCACTAAAACCCCATCGCCTAGGGACACTTCTGACCATGGCCAGCCAGGATGCTGTTCAGGACTGCTGTCAAAGAGGCCCAGCATCCCCAGAACTCGGGTCTTAAACAGGAATAGGTGGTCAGCACCATTCTATCCTGCTATGACAGTGGATGTGGGGGCTAGGACAAGGAGAGGGTGGCATGGTCAGAGCCACTGAACCACCACGGTCAGCACCACACCCTGTCCAGGTATCAGGAAGCAGAGGGAGAAGAGAAGCACTCCTCACTCGCAGAAAGCACCAGAGCTGCATGGACCAGTCCTTGCTCTCCTCTTCTTCCTCAGCTCTGGAAGCCCCTCCGGACAGCAGGATCTCCAGCTGAGGACTGTTTCTGACACCCATTCCCAACAGCCAGTAAGGTAAAGTGGGGTTACTAGGAGGTCTTCCAGGAAGCCACTTCTGAAAAAGTCAGAAAAAAAAAAAAAAGTCAGCCAGGCAGCAAACTCTTTGCCCTTTTATTTATTCTTCTTGCCTGTAACTTGACTGTTTTGGCTCAAGTGCCAGCAGCCATCTTTGGACTGTGAAGAGGAAAGCAACATGCTAATAAAGTGAGAGAAAAAAGACAGGGAGAAGCGGGGCCCCTCATAACCAGGGAGCCACCATCTGCTTCCAGGCTTCCTATGTGTGTGGGTCACTGAAGTGGGTTCTCCTTGTGGGCAGGGGACTGCACTGCGAGGCACTCACAGGCTGGGGACCGAGTGGCTTCCAGGGCTCAGGCTGGCTTCCTGGTCTTGCTTTTCTTTCAGATCTCTGTGCAGCAGCCCACAGTGGTACACAGTGCCACCCTGACACCTGGGACTGCACCATTCTTCCTGCCGTCCATCCAGCTGGCTCTCGTCTGACTGCTTCCAGCCTTCCCCCAGTGGTCAGTGGCATTAATGATCTTGGGAAGAGTGAAGAAAACAAACAGCTGGCTCTTGGCTTTGAAGCCACAAAAGACACTTCCGGAACTGATGGCCTAAAGAAAAGAAAGGCTTTTTAAATTTCATAAGTCTGTGTACTGTACATCTGCAAAAGTTCAGAACATCAGCAAGTGAAGAGAGGCTCCCAGTTTCCTAAGAGTAAAATCAGATGGCAGGAGGGAGAAGACAGCCTTCATCCCCTCCCCCTAGTTGCTGGGACGTGTGAAAGGACACCTTCACAGCATGTGGGAAAACCACTTTCAACCTAAATGATCATTGCTAGCCATACCACCAACTGAGCGAGAGCAGACTGCAGGCTCTTCTCCCTGTCCACAGGAGTCCTAGCTGCAGGTGCTCAGAGCCAGGGGCACCTCGCAGGAGAAGGACATAGGGTATCAGCAGCAGGGGCCCAGGTGCAGGGCGGGAACCTGGAGCCGCAGGCACAGGCAAAGGCAGGTGAATGACAAGTAGGCCACAGCTGGACCGTGCCACAATGGACAGCTCGCACAGCGTGGGGATGAGCGCAAGGCTGTGCTGGGGCTGGAGGCGGCGCTTGCGGGAGAGTAAGGTTCACATCCACCAGGGCCAGACTCTCCCCAGGCGGCCGGCACGAATGAGCAGCGCCCACGCGAGCGTCGCTGTGCAAGACAGGAGGCGAAGGCCTTGAGGACAAGAGGAGCAGAAAGCCAGCCCCTTGCCTTGGCACAGGTATTAAATCGTGAAGTACAGGCAGAGCTTTGAAAACAGTAGCTGACCAGTAGCACACATTTTTAAATATGCCGCGGAACGAATTTTAACACACTGGAAAGCAGCAATGTGACAGCTCTGTACTTGTGTTGGTGGGTAAAACATTATTAATTTAAACGTGTAAGATGGAATTTTAATCAACTTTTCACAGCTAAGGACACAAACAATAGACCTAGAAAACGTTTATGCTAAACCAGAACCAGTTGTTTCCTAACACACGCGTGTTTTAACTTTTACTTTGAAGCAACTGCAGACTCACAGCAAGCAGCAGGAAGGGGATAGAGGGTCCATCTGTGCCCTTCCACCATCCCCCAGTGTTAAGCGTTGTGTCCCTGCAGGATGGTGGGAAGCTAGGAGACTGACGTCAGCGCAGGGCCTGGGTTTTGCTCCCAACTCTTTACCCATGTGAGCTTCTAGGATTCACTGTAACAAAGATGCGGGGAGATAACTCAGTAGAATAAGTGCTTGCCTGGCAAGCGTAGGATCCTGAGTTCAATCCCTGGTTCCGCAAAAAAAAAAAAAAGAAGAAGAAATAAAAATAAAGATGCAGGGCTGTTTCATCACTACGAAGACCTCTCTCCTGCTTCCCTTGGGTACTAAAATCCAGGGAACTGCTCGCCTTTCTCCCGCTGTGGTGCCCTTGTGTTTTCAGCACTGATAAGTGGCATCGACAGTGCTTTCCCTGTTCCACTAGCACCTGCCTGAGTTCTGCAGGGTCTGCACGCACACGATCTCGTCCCTTCTGTTGCTGAGAAGTGTTCCACAGTGTGTCAGGGTCGCACAGTGACCACTCACTTGCTGAATTTCATCCTGGGTGTTTTCAGGTTTGGGGCAGTTGCAATAAAGTGGATATTGGCATTTCTGCACACATTTTATGTGGATGAAATTTCATTTCTCTGGGATAAATGCCCAGGAGTGTGATTTTTGGTCTTATAGTAAGCACACGTTTATTTCTGCAAAAACTGCCAACTCCCAGAATGTTTGTGCCACTTTGTATTTTCATCAGCAGTGTAGAAGAGATCATTTCTTCACATCTTTGCCAGAATTTACCATTATCATTTCCTAATTTCATTTTCCCTAAAAGGTTTGAAGCGGTAGCTCACTGAGTCTTCTCTGCGTCTCCATAGCAGCTGCACCTGTGAGCGTCTTCCCTGGCTCCCTTGCCAGCTGCTTGTTCTTGGTGCATGACATTTTCTAATTGTGGTGTGGCAGTTCCTAATTGTCCTGTTTGGCGGCGAATGTTGAGTTGTGAGAAGAATGTATATATTCTAGATTGGAACTCTTTTTCAACTATGTGGCTTACAAATATTTTCTCCCAGCTATAGCTTGTCTATTCGTGCTCTTCACAGGCCATTTTAATAATGACCGTGCTTATGTCCAACTTACTGATACTTCCCAATTCATTACCTCAGACTAATATTTACCTGACAGAAAAATCAGACAAAAACAGTTCACAAAATAAAAACATATACCCTATCATTCACAGCTATAGATGCTTACTCCTTAATAAAATATTAACAAACAGGATTCAGTGACATGTCAAAAGGACCTTTGTGCACACCAGCCCTGACAATGTGAGGTGCCTCAGTGTTCAAAGGTCACTGAACACGCTGACTATTTAGGACACTAATAACCTACCATATCATCAGCTCAAATTAGCTTTTAAACTGGTGCAGGAAAATCATTTGATAAAGTTCAGCCTTTTATCATTTCATGACCATATCTCTCAGAAAACTAAGAATTTAGAGGAAATTCTTCAACTTAATAAAATATGCTTATTTTCAAATCCTACAGTTAGCATCATATTTAAAGGAGAAAACCTGAACACACCCTTCCAAACCATGCACCAGAAAGGAACAAACAGTCTGACTACCACCATTCAAAACCCTATCCAGGCTGGGGAGATGGCTCAGTAGAATAAGCGCTTCCCTGGCAAGCACAAGGGCCTGAGTTCAATCCCCGGTTCTGCAAAAAAAACAAAACAAAACAAAACCAAAAAAACACCATCAACAACAACAACAACTATCCATTTTAGGTTTTCCTATTACATAATCATTTCCTATTACATAAAATGGGGAAATCAGAAGGAATCAGGAGAACTCACACAGAGAGTAAGTCCTCAAGAAGGGGCTTCCACTTCTGGGTTGGGACCAGTGGAAAAGAAAATGGGGGACACCTGCTGTCTCCTGAGGGCTGTTTATAGGGAAGAGGGAGTCCTGCTCCACAGTGCAAGGAGCCTTACCCCAGCCTCCCCAGAGCTTGAGACCAGAGCCATGGAGCAGAACAGACTTCAGAGGCCACATCCATGGGACACACAGGTGGGGCCTGGCAGAGCTGGCTGAAGGAGTAGGGGGACCTGTCCGTCATAAGCTCCCAGAACCCGCTAGAACTTCTCCAGACCCCCACAAGGTTCAGACTCCGTGAGGGGCTGCTATTTCCACTCCGCAGCATAGGCTGCCTGTGCTGAGGCAGGGTACACTTTTAACTTTGCTTCTATACTCTTTTTGGTCTTCCCTTACCCCTTCAGTCCTCCTCACCTTTGAAATAAACTTTTGGCACTGTGTTTGGTTTGTCTCATCTGCTTGTTTGCTCCAGACAAGAAGGACCTGGAGTACTTTTCCAGGCATGCCATTTTTTAAAGGAAGTACAGTTCACTCCAGCTGCCAGGGAGTGGCACTGAGGGAGGAAGTGCTGCCTAGCCGAGGTCCCACCGAGGAGGCAGAGAGAGAGCTAGTGTTGAATGTTCAGGCACGGCTAGGGTGCTTATCAAGATGCGCAGAGAACTGACAAGCGCACACCTACTTGCAAGTGTGAGCAGCTTCATTTAGCGAAGATCACAGGACATTGTGCCCAGGGCAAGTCCATGCTGGCAAAAGATAAGGCACAAGTAGAAGAGGTTCCAAGTGACAGAAAGGCAAGCACTGCACACAGGTCACAGCCTGTGGAAGCAGCAGCAGCAGCGGCTCTACCCCACCAGGCTCTTGGAATGTAAAGGATGTGTACATTGGCCCAGGTGCCTCCTGAGGTGTTTTTTGTTGTTGTTGTTGTTGTTGTTGTTTTTGCTGTACCGGGGATTGAACTCAGGACCCTGAGCTTGCCAGGCAAGCACTTATTCTACTGAACCATCTCCCCAGCCCCCTTCTGAGATTTGAGTGTGATGGGCAAGCCTGACTGACTGGGTGCGTTGTCATCCTCGGAGCGCTGTCCCGGAATTTTCTCTAACCGACCTGTGATCCTCTGATGAGGTGAGACAGGAGAAGGTAAGTGGAACTGAGCTGGGAGACCTAACACGAGTGTGGTCTGGCCTAGAGAATCAGTGACCTGTCTATGGCCATACCACCCTGAGTGCACCCGATCGCATCTGATCTCAGAAGCTAAGCAGGGTCGGGCCTGGTTAGTACTTGGATGGGAGAATCAGTGACCTCCTGCCATCTCCTAGGACAACAGAAGGCAGAATGGCCCTGGGCGCTATTTAAATGGGTAGAGGACAGTGACTCCTTATCTCCAGGGGTGGGGTGGGCACAATGCAACCTTGTGTTCTGCTGAGGCCCATCCAGGACCACAGCATCTTGGAGGCACTGGGCAACTGGTAGCAGGAATCACACAGCAAAAGATCCCATGGTCAGGGCTTGATCTCCTACTGGCTGCCACCACCCACGAGTTGGGTCCAGCAGGAAAGAAAGGGGAAGCAAAACCCTGACCAAGCAGCAAGGTGTACTCGTTGGATGTTTGTCTGTCAGGCGGCCCAAGACAGAAACAGCCTGACTATAGGTGAGAGCGTCACACTGGCCTGAGGAAGTCACGGTGTGAGCACTGGCCAGCAGAGGAGGAGCACCTGTGGGGACCTCAGAGTCAGCAGGGTGGAGCGAGGAAAGCAGGCAGGTGGCAGGGAAAGGTAACTTGCTGAAGGGAAGACCACAACTGTGGCAGGACCCTCACCTCTCCAACTCAGCAGGGCCTTCAGGACCTGAGCCCAGGCTACCAGTGGGGAAGGACTGCTCCGAGGGGTGTCAGCTTCTCCTCTCGTACTTAGGCCCCTAAAAAAGAAAGGCCATGCTCTTTCCTATGCACCCACCAGCCAGATTTCTTACCAGGAAACCCGCAAACCCTTCTGTCCTCCCCAGGGACCTGTGGCTAATGAAGCTGGTGAAACACCAGGATGTCCCGAAGCTCTGCTCTCCACAAGTTGGCCAAAGCTCACATGAGCCAGGCATGGTAGCCCTCACCTGTGGTCCCAGCACTCTGGCAATTGAAACAGGAGGAGTTTGAGTCCAGCCGGGGCAGTACTGAGATACTCTGTCTCAAAAGAAAAATGAAAGTGCTGGGTAGAAAGCTCAACACAAAAGTCCTGGCTTCAGTCTTAGCACTGCAAAGTCCAGCAAACAAACAAACAATAAATAAAACTTCTATGGCTCACCACAGGGAGTCATAGTTCCCCTGAAGTTCTGCCCTCCTTCTTGAGAGTGGCCAGTGGCCAGTGACCTGAGAAGATATAAAGATGGCCAAAATTCCTCTATTTCACTGCCTGCAGTTCCTCCCCTGCCCTGTTCCACCTGCCATCAAGGGGCAGAACGGCCACCCTATTGCAGTCCCTTCCATGCCTGTGGAGTCAGCACCCCTTGCACAGCCACCAATGGCCTCCAGGTTGCCTGAGCCACCTGACTGCCACAGAGGGATACAGGTGCTCCCAGGAACACATGTCCTCCCACAGCACCAATACGGCAAAAACAAGGGCAAAACGCAGGGCACTCTCTTTCCACATTGGAAGGGGCTCAATGGCTGTGCCTACAGCTAAAGAAGACGAGAGCTTCTTATGATCGCACCCCACCCACCAGTCAGCAAACACCCAGTTGCCTGTCTGCCCACTACACCCATCCAGGGCAAGGCAGGAGGCTGGTGACCTGCACAGTGGCTGCAGTGCAGCACCACAGTCCAGAGTGCACAGCATCGCTCCCAGCCTGCTGCAAACCAAGACAGCCACGCCTGGGAGCCACACACGGAGGCCTGGCACAGGCAGCTCAGCCAGAGAAGCATCACCTCCAGCTGCACTGAGCCACACACGTGGCCTCCGTGGGCCCCAGTCTGAGCTGCCTCCAGTCCAGGCTCCCTGCAGGGGGCTCGCCAGGGAGGCTGTGTCCAGTGTGTCTAGTTTAGGGATGATGCAGGCCCTCGTCCAGATCCACACGCCACCCTCTCTGTGGACCTCACAGGCAGGCTCCCGCCTCTGCCTTCTGCCACCTAGTGGAGACATTGTGGGAGCAAAGGAGGCTCCATTCCTCCTGTTCTCACCTGTCAGGTGACCACAGCATACTGGTGGCCCTGTGGTGATGATCATAGCTCTTGTCTCCTGACTCCATACAACTCCTGGGATGAGTAACCGCTTTGTCTAGCCCAGCTGGGGATGGCGCCCATTAGAACCAGTCCTAGAGTCCTACTCCATCCATTTGCTGACCTAAATATATCTCCTTTAATACTCCTGATACAAACTTTCTGACAATACTCAAAGTGGGCCATCTAGTTCCCAACTTTACACACAGCCTGTTTGCAAGGCCCCTGTGACTGCCCCAAGGCAGAGCCCAGAGCTGCTTCTGAACCTCATGACGGCTGGAGCCTGATCCTATAGATCTAAAGCCTGGTGCCTGGGAGGATTGTGCACCTTTGCAATGAGATGCTGTCATCAGAAAACCAAGGGATCGTACAGATGTGAAAGCTGAGACAAAGGAGAAGTGCTCTGCAGATGAAGGACATCGTGTCACTGAACAGATGTATGTCTTTGTGAAATCCCCTTTGAGACACCTTTGTGTCACCTGCAAGAGAGGAAAGGCCATCATCACATGGATTTCGCATCTTAGAGTTGATGGGCCGGACCACTAATTCATGGCACATAGAAGGGACAAGGCCTCATGTGGGCAAGGAGACCTGTGGAGCACAACCTGGCTTCAGAGGTACCCACACCTCAGCATCAAGATGGAGAAAATGGAGCAAAGAGGCTCCTGGCTCTGGCTTTAGGGGAAAGATGGGTTCAAAGCCCCACCGGGCCTCAGAAGGACCAGAGCTCTAGACACTCTCAGGAGCTGCTTAGGAGCCATATGGAAGATGCCAGAAAGAAAGGGATAAGATACCACCAGGGGTCTGAATTCAGGCTGAAGTAGCAGCCACTTGGAGAAGCACATGGGGAGCCCCAAGTTAACCTTGTGTTAATCCAAGTTAACACAGTATCAAACACAGTGTGTCTGGGAATCTCTCGGGAGCCAGAGCACAGTGACCCCCCCCCAAAGGGCCAGCTTCAGAAGCTGTAGGGAGCTGAGACCAGGAAAGGGACAGACAGGAGTCTGTAGCCATAGAATGCCTGAACTGATGACTCAGGAGGCTCTGTGGAAACCCTAAGATCTACAGGCAGAAGACAGTAATCTCCCTCCTGGCTCTCTGTGCTCCAGAGCAGCCGAGTAGGGTGATGCTGGCAGGACTGGTGGAATCACATGAATTCAGCCCTGCCACATGGAAGTGGTCAGATGATGGTGCTCACTGCTCTGAGACGTGGTTTGCACCGGAACCCATCATCTCCTCCTTGCCCTTAAGAGGCCAGTCTATACTTCCTAACTCCTCCGAGCTGTGAGTGGCCCAAGCACTACTTCTCCCAGTGGAATGTGTGCAGGAGAGAGCGCCACTTTTGAGACAGGTGCATGTTGCCACACTTGCCTCCCTCCCCAGAGAACCTGCCCGTGTGGCATGCAGGAGCCAGCAAAGCATGTCAGCAGCAGACCCACCTGATGGAGGCTGGAAAGGCACTGCCAGAATTCTGGAACACTATGCAAGCAAGCCTTGCCTGGGTGTAGAAGTACACTTCTGAGCAGAAGCCACACACTTCTGGATTCATTTGTTAGACTCCAGGCCTAAGCTGGCCTCCAGAGGGCACTTGGGCTCTGAGGGAGCCCCCCACACGCACACCCATCAAGGGCTAGAAAGTGTTGTAGGGGCAGGGTGCTTACTCTGGGAGTTATCAGCCAATTATTTACCACTTTGGACTAATCAACTCCAGTAAGAAACCGCTCAGATTTTTCTTCTTTTACTTAAAAATTGGAAATCAGCCTAATAATGATGGATTTTTGTTGTTGTTTTGAGACAGGGTCTCACTATGCAGTTCAGGCTGACCTTCAACTCACTTTGTTGCCCAGGATGGCCTCAAACCCAAAGCAATCCTCCCGCCTCAGCTTCTTGAGTGCTGGGATTACAGATTTGTGCCCCCATGCCTGGCTAACAATGGGTTTTTAAACCTCTCTAAATTACATTCCTCAAGAGCCTCTCTTACAAAAAAAAAAAAAAAAAAAAAAAAAGCCTCTTTTATTTTGACTCTACAACAAACTTCCCACTAGTCTATGTGGGCTTGGGACCAGCTATTCCTTGTGTAATAGTAGCAGAACATGTGCTTCTCTAGGACTGCTAGAATTTTCTAGAACTTTGCCATATAGACCATGAATATTCTAAGAGCTAATGCTCTGCCTGCTGTTTTTTGAATTATTAGCATATATTTACTGCGCACAAGAGTTACATTCTGCACACTTGGGACGCGTACATTACACATCTAGGGTCTTCCTTCATCTCCTTCTTCTTCCCCTCCCTCCCTTGGTCCCCTTCCCATCTGCATAAGATCCATCACCCTTTTTCTGTTATCTGTCTTTTACTTTACTCTTCATTTATCACTTAGGTTTCTCCTGTAAGAGAAACCATGTAATATTTAAGCTTGTGTGCTGGATTTATTTCCCTTAACCTTATGATCTCATGGTGCATTTGTTTTCCTACAAATGCCCCAAGAATTTCTAAAAGTCTCTGCATATCTTGGTTCTACTTATGTACCATAGTAACTTTTTATTACAAAAAGTAAAAAATACAGATAATCATAGAAGAACATTGAATCTAAATGAGAAGCAGATCACATATGCCCACCTCTCCTCCCACTCCTGTGAAATGATTCAAGAGATCAGATTAGCTGGACCTGACTCTAATGCAGGAGGAGGTAAAACTCAGGCTTATTTTTCATTTTATGCCATGTCAACCCTAGGCCTCTGCCTGTAACAAAGTTTGATCCAGAGACAGTGGTAGAAAGGCAGGAGTCCGGGCTCTGGGTTCTCGCTGCAAATCTGAGACCAGCCTGGGCCAGGGAGTTTAAGGCCAGCTTGGACTACATAGCAAGGCTATGCCTGAAAAATAAATAAATAAAAATAAAAATTTTGTGGCAATATGAAAAAAAATTCCCACATACTATCAAGTAACCAGAGAATGAGATTCAGATAGCATGTATTTTGTACAGGCTGAAGCAGGAAGAGCATAAGTTTGAGTCCAGTCTGGGTCACTGTCTCAAAATTAAAAACGAGTGCGAGAGCACTTGCCTAAAGTGTACAAGTCCCTAGTTGGATCCCCAGCGCTACACATATACCTGCCCTTTGTTTCATTATTTGTAAGGAAGTCAGCAGCAGCAGCAACACAGGTCTGGCCCGTGGGTCCAGGAAAGGCAGCGGCCACTCAGAGTGGGCTCGGTGTGGACGCTCCTGACTTGCCCCAGACACTTTCCCAGAAGGTGTGTGCGCGCGCGTTGAGGCAGGTTCCCGGGACACTGGCCGCGCTGCAGCCTCCGGCTCCTGCTCCGCGTGGTGCCGCGCTCTGAGCCCTGCGCACTGCGCTCTGCGCCCTGCGCCCTGCGCCCTGCGCTCTGCGGCAGACGCGGCGCGCGTTCCCTGATCCGCACCAGCTCGCGCCTCCGGATGCAGCGTGCGGGCGCGGTGACGTTCTCGGATAAATGCCGAGTAACTGTGTAGGCGAATGGGAGCTAAAAATAAGCACGGAAAATCTATCATTAAGGTATCACTGCGCCCGCGCAACTACTGAAGGCTCCCCGGCTCCGCCTTCAGGCTCCGGGCATCTGCAAAAACTCTTCAGCCGGACCTCGGCCGCACGGCAGCGCCAGGAATTAAGACACCGCTGGAAATAAGTAAAACAAGCCCCCATCCCCAGCCCGCCCCGAGACCTCGTCTAGGAGGCCACTCGAAGGGCCCGGAGCTGAGGCGCCAAGGGACCCATCTCGCCATCACCCTCTTCTATCCACCTGGGGTTAGGAAAATACGGTCCTGGGGGGCGGAGATGCCGGATGAGAAAATGAGCAGGACTTGACCCTGGGTCCGCACTGCGCCACGCCGCGCCTCGGGGGGCACACATCCCGGGATCCAGGGGCGGCGAGGCCCCAGGTTCCCCGGGTTCGATGAAACCGATCCGATTCGCTCTGAACACCCGGGGAAGGGGCGGCGGGGGCGGCCGGCCAAGCGCGCGCGCGCGCGTGTCCCTTCCGCGCGGGGACGGCCTCGCGGGCCGCGTCACCTGGCTCCGCCCGCCTTCGGCTAGCCGGGCAGGGCGGCGGCCTCTGCGGCCCAGGCGCTGCGGAACCGGCGGATCCAGGAGCCGACCGCGAGTGTAGACGCGGGGGCGGAGCGCGAGCGCGCGGATGGGCTGCGGGGCCGCGCCGCCGCGCGGGGAGAGGACGTGAGCGCCGGCCGCGGCCTGCGAGCATCATGCAGAAGGGCATCCGGCTCAACGACGGCCACGTCGCTTCTCTGGGGCTGCTGGCACGCAAGGACGGCACGCGCAAGGGCTACCTGAGCAAGCGGAGCGCGGACAACACGAAATGGCAGACCAAGTGGTTCGCGCTGCTGCAGAACCTGCTTTTCTACTTCGAGAGCGACTCGAGCTCTCGGCCCTCGGGGCTGTACCTGCTGGAAGGTTGCGTGTGCGACCGCGCGCCCTCGCCCAAGCCGGCGCCCTCGGCCAAGGAGCCGCTGGAGAAGCAGGTGAGGGTACGGGCGCTGAGGAGTGCGCGGCGGGGAGGGACGGGCGAGGACCTCGAACCCGCGTCGAGACCGGAGGGGCGCCGCGCTGTGCCCCGCCAAACAGTGTCACCCTGGCGGGAGCGTCCGCTCAAGCACCACTTGGGTGCAGCTCCGTGTGGCGGCACCTGCGCCCCGCGAACCGCATGGTCGGCTCCAAAGGCCGCTGGGGCGCGGGTCTTGGCCGTGGGCGCGACGCTCCTCCCCGTTCACAGCCGCAGGGCCCCGGGGCCTGGACACACACAGCCTGGGTGATGGGAGGAAGGTGAGCCCTCTGCGGTCTTCAAAGGTCTGTCCTGCTTAGGGGAGGGTGATGATAACGGGTCCTCGGATGCTACCACTAAGAGGAACCTGACATCCACAGGGCCCGAGCAGCCTGGGACACTAAGGACCTGAGAGCTATATTGAGGTGCCCCAGGGTCTGAGGTTGTCTTAAGCCGCAACTGCACCAAACTGGCTGCATTGAATGTATCCCTAGAAGTCTCACTCCTTATCAAGACAGACATCCCAGCTCAGCCTGCCCAGCCAACCCCTTCTCTCCTCAAAGTAGCCCTGCGCACTGGGAGATGGTTCTGGGGCCGGGAGTGCACAGGAATGTTTGAGAGTGGGTCTCTGGGAAAGACCAACTAATTAGGCTGGAACCCCCAGGCAGAGAGCAGGCAGCCACTTACATTCAGAACTCCAAACAGGCTGAAGGACCCAGCAGAGACTAGGCTGTCCAACCTGGTAACCTGCCCTTCTCCAGCCCTAAGGTCCTGGTGTCTGCCCTGGCCAGAGTCCTTGACCCTCAACCCTCAGCCCTTCCCCAGTGGACCACCTGGGCCAGGGTGGGTAGAGGTGGGAGAGGGCACCGGTGAATGTGGGTTCACAGTGTCTATTCCCTGGGCCTGGATGGGAAGACGGAAGGGCCTGGGGCCAAATCGCAGCTTCCTACTTTAGATGTGTGACTTCAGTTAACATGCTGAGCTTCTCTGAATCTGTCTTGTGGTCTGTGGAATGGGGATAATAACTGACACCTCTGGGATTCTGATTTTACTGAGTTAAATGTTGTTTATGAAGGGATGCTCCAAGTACAGTTTAGTGGGGGGGGGGTCTAATAAATCTTAATTAAATCTGAATTCTGGGCAACAATATCTAGGAAACTGCATGTTGAAGCCGGAAGACAGCCCAGAAAGCATGAGACTCATCTTTCCCATTTCACAGACCACAGCACTGAGGAGCAGAGAGGGAAATGGTTGCCCAAGAGCACAGAGAATCTGGCAGAGTCAGACCTAGAACTCACTTAGCAGTCAGCCTGGGAGCAAGCGTGTGTGAGCTTGTCCCCAGAGCACTTCAGGCAGAGTTGAGCTGGGAGCAGCAGGTGGCCGGTGCTGCCCTGCTGGGTGCAGGTCTGTGGAAGACTCATCACGCCTCCTGTCCTAACCCCATGTTGTGCTGTGTCCTCTAGACAGGTTCGGTGCACATGGGAGTAGGTCGTGCCCCTTGGCTCTTCGTGTGTGCAGAAGTGTAATGTCCTTTCCAATGTTTGCCAGAGATCAGTGCCCCAGCAGCTGCTCCTGCTCCTCCTTGACTTGGCATCCCTGTAGCATGAGGCCCTGCACCCAGGGCAAAAGGCTTCAACTCACTCATGACACTGTCTGGGTCACACAAACTTTGATTCCAGCCCTGCTGGACACAGGGGTGCCCGAGTTAACAGCCCAATGAAGCTATCAGCCTGACAGGACTGGCTAGAGTCTGGTGAAGAGTGTCTTAGTACCGCATCGTATTTATGTAGGTCCAGACTTCTCTATGGGCCACAAGATGGTTTGTGAGGAATGGGGGCCATGCCTTTGCTGGGTGCTCTCTCAATTTCAAGGTAGATGCATAGGAAGCACTCTCAGAGTTGGACCTGTGGGTGCATTGTTACTTCTGCCTTCTGCACTTGAGGACAAATCAGTGTAAGGCCCTAGTTGAGCCATTAGCCTAAGGAGCTGATGGCCACATGCCCTGGGGAAAAGAGACACAGATAAGAGTGAGCTCTTTGCCCTAGGAAGATACTCTGATCCTGGGCTTCGTGGGGGACTTCCAAAGCTCAGGCCATGCACCAGGCCCTCCCGACCCTGTGCATTCCCACCTACTACATCCGGGGCTGTCTTGGGGCACTGGAGCTTTGGCCCTGGAGCCGGCATCTCAGGCTATCAGATCCGCACAGCCTCGTTCCCGCATCTCCCCCATCCTGGCCTGATTGTCAGTTCTAGTTCATCTCCTCCCACCACTCAGCCCACACCACAAAGTCGGGTGGTGTGGGCCCAGAGTTGGCTGCTCCACGGCATCACACAGTGCTGTGCAGTAGAGGCACTGCACATGGGCTCTTGCAGCTCAAGTAACAGTGCTCTTAGCCCTGGTTTCTCAGGAGAAGAGCAACCAGAGTGGGTCAGAGCGTGGACTCGAGGCTCTTCCTGTTCACGGAGAACAGAAGGGCTCAGGCAAATCCTTGCCACCGTAGCCTCCTCACCTGATGGGGGCAGTGCTCTGGAAGCCACCAGGCAAGTGCCCTGTCCCCAGACACGATGAAGCCCTGTTCCTGTTATCTTTCACCGGACATATGGGTTCACACCAGCCTGAAGGCTTGGAGACAAACAGCCACCCACTGAGGCAGAAATGAAGCTCACTTTGGCTGTGCCCTTCTGCCTCTGCTGGTGTTAGCCCAGCCTGAGCATACTTGAGCTCTGCCAGTCCTGAGCTCACAAACCAAACAGCAGACATGGCCAGCAGCTCGGAGGGAGAACCTGCACACTGGGATCCAGCAAGCATGGCACTGGCAGTGGATGGTGCTGCCCTCACGTGCCTGGAAGGAGTGGGGTGAACATGGCCCTGACTGTGTCCTGAGGGGACAGCAGGCAGGGCTCAGGGAGCAGGCCACACACCCACACCTGGCTGGGTGCCATCCACAGCTTGCTTGCAGTGCTGGGCCTGGATGGGGGTCCTGCAGGTTCAGAGAAGAAAAAAACTTCTGCCCATGGAAAACTTCTTCTGATGGGAACCTGCCCATCAGCCACAGCAACTGCCCAGGGCAGGGACACACCTCCCTTGAGGCCCCTCCTGAGGTAGGAGCTAGGGCCCTGCTTAAATAGCCTCTGCCTGCTGCCCACTCACCCATCCCAATGCTCCCTCTGGGTAGCCGGCCACCAGGATCCTTCACTGTTACTATATCCTTTTAAAATTTTAGCTGATGTATACACTGGTATAAGGGACAGTGTGACATTTTGATTCATATACATAGGGTAGTGATCAGCTTAGGGGAGTCTGCTCGTCCATCCCCTTTAACTGAATCATTTTTAGACTCTTCTGCCAGCACCGGGAGCCACTTAAGTCAGGCCAGGCTGGCCAGCCTTCTCCCTCTTCCTTCCCTGGCCTGGCCAGAGCATCAGAACGCCAGCCTCTGTCTCCTCTCTCCTCCCTCAAGGCCTCTGCTGGAGTGGGCTCAACCTGTCCCATGTCCTTGGGATACCAGCCTCTTCTGTTTTGGGTCCTCACCTAAAAGTCACCTCCCCAAAAGAGGCCTCCCCCTCCAGGGCCACATAACACTCCCCCTCACAAGGAACGGCATCCCAGACCACGTCCTCTGCCCTTTGGGAATGGCTGTCCCTCAGGGCTAAGCACCAGCCAGCTAGGATAGGAAAGGCCTCTGGGCTGGTACAGCTACAAGTGGTGCTGGGGGTAGAAGCTCCAGAAGGAAGAGGGAACCAGGGCTCTGTTGTGAAGGCTTGGTCAGCAGGTGCTTCCTGAAATTGCAGGGCCTGTGTTCTGCTGGCTACCAGAAAAGAGTTTTGTGAGCCTACCTGCTGACATTCTCATCTCTGCCTCAGGTCTCTGAGCAGATAGATCACAGGGAGTGAAAGGCAGCAGGAGGTTTGCGGATGGGAGATGAGTATGGGGGCCTGGGGCAGAAGGGTTTGGTCCCCCTCCAGGTCTTCAGGCGTGCTTGTTATGGAGATAGATGAAGCCTGTGTGTGTACCTCCATGGGCTCAGGAGGTAGCTGCCCTGTGCCCACAGCCCAGGAGGGAGCAGGTGTATCAATGGAGGGTGGCTGAGAACTGTGCCAGCCTTGCATAGCCTTCACAGTCCCTCGAGGTCCCCTGCGTGAGACCCAGCCGGCCTGTCCTTGGGCAGCTGGGAGGTGTGTGCTTGCCCACCTCCCATTCGTCTTCCCCTTCTGCCCACTGGAACACCCCATTCCTCCCATTCAGGGACAAAGCCTGAGGATTTACCAAGCCACGTGACAGTGAAGTTGACATGTCCCTCCCTAGGTCCCTTTAGACATCCTGCTTTCCTCTGCTAAGCTACAGTGTTCTTGCCTCATTCTGGGAATCCCTGGAACTGCACCCACATCCCCCAAAGTGGCCTCTTTTACATTCTAGGTTTCCACATGAGAGCTCATCTTTAATGCTTCCCAAAGTTTGTCCTTCTTCACGGTATCACTGAGCACCCTTCAGATGACATGTTGTGGATATAGATTAAAATGGCTTTGAAGCACTCGACTGAAAACATCGAATAATAACAGTAAATATCATTTATTGGGCACCCAGATCATGCCAGGCCCAGGTGCATGTCTCAGATATGGCACCTTCCTTCACTATGCCAGCAGCCCCGGGGGGGGGGGTATCTCTTGGCCCATTTTCCAGATGGCAGACAGAGCTCAGGTTTAAATTGTTGCTCCAGAGTTTGAGAGTTACAGTATGTGGAGCGCTGCACATATGGAGGGGGGCGCTATCAATTACAGCCCTGCACAGTTACAGCACCGCATGTGGACTCCAGAGGGGGCTGGTTCTTACCAGTTTCTGCCAGGAGAGACTGGAAGAAACGATTGAAAACCTGTTGATGCTGCACAAAGCTGGCTTTGTGTGTTGGGTGAGAGCTCCGCAGCTGAGCCCTGTGCTGACGGCCCTGTGTGGCACGCCCCTGTGGGTCTCCCTGAAACTGG